CTGAAACATGTGGACTCACCTGGTGTCTCTTCAGTCATTTCAAGCTCAAAACTCTAAATCTCCCCAAATCAAAATGTTTACACTTAGAATCTCCAGGGTGTGACCCACGGAGGATGACAGAGCAGTTTTCTCTCTTTCCCCATAAAGCTGGTTCTCAAGTCTGCCTGTTGAACAGTTCCACCAGCATCACAGCATCTACCTGCCTAAACCAACACCCCAGCATTGGCAACCCATATCTTCCTCTCCCTTGGCTGTTTCAGGGCATGGAAGAAACATGCTAGCCATTTTCTGACTCTGGTAACTCTTGCAGAATCTATCACATTATTTTACATCTCCTTATATCTTGGCTGTGTTTTCCTTACTGGCAGTGATTTCTTATTTTAGGGTACAGATTCTCGGTATGTTGTCTTCCAGGCTGTAGTGCAGTGGCGTGATCTTGGCTCACTGCAACCTCCTCCGCCCCGGGTTCAAGGGATTCTTAGGTAGCCTCCGGAGTAGCTGGGATTACAGGCGCGTGCCATCACCCCACCCCTTGTTTAGCATATAATCATGAAATAAGCATAAAAATGGGCAAACAGCAGCCCTGGGGCCATTCTCTCTATGGAGTAGCCATTCCTTTATTCCTTTACTTTCCTGATAAACTTGCTTTCGCTTTATATACTTGCCCTGAATTTTTTCTTGCCCGAGATCCAAGTACCCTCTCTAGGGGTGTGGATCGGGACCCCCCCTTCCTGTAACACATACTGCACATATTCCACTGGAATATGTGTTACAGGAAGGGGAAAATTGTATAAAATTTGAGCTGTACGTTACAGGTAGTATTAGGGAGCAGTAGAAAGGAGAAGGGTGGCAAGTTTTATCAAATGAGCAGGATATTTAAGGAATGAGTTTATCCCATAACGGGGTAAGGAAAAAAGCTGAGGCTCTCATGAGACTCATGGCTTCTTCAACTTGGTCCAGGGCTGCAGACCATTCAAGAGAAAATCAAATCAGGCACAGGGCCTGACCAACCCACAAACCAAAAATTGAGCTGGTCTCAGCTTATGATAATTCTAACCCTGAGGGTATTTGAAGGGCAAAATGAAACATAAACTGTCTTATTGGAACATCTATTTTAACCTAGTCCATTTCATATTAAAAGTAAACACATGTACATACAAAACATTACATGCCTAATAATTCATTTATGAATATTTTCCTTTGGCTGATTATTGCTTGTGGTAAATTTTAAGCTTCTCTTGTCTATTCCCCAGTGCTACCAAATGAAATTTCAGTTCTTGTTATTCAAGGCTACACACCCTTATAATTTCTGCTGAAGGACACTTCAAAAATTCTAGGAGAAATATTCCATCTCTGTTATAATTGCAGAAAAGCAGAGCTTGTTTTGCAGCATAAAGCTACTTCTGATAAAGTGCTGGTTTGAGATCTTTCATAGAAATGTCACTCTGGAGTCCAGTGTGGGGACTAGGTGAAACTGAACTAACAATGGATCTGAATTCTGTTGTTAAAGATGACTTCTAAGGCAACCATACATCTGGTTCTTTTATTCTGAGAAATGTTACCTATAGCCATTGAAAGTTTAGTATTCTGATTAAATGTCTTTTTCTTATTTAAATGAACACATCCACACATTATGGTCAAGAGTGCATACATTATAAAGTATATTGCAAAGAAATGTGATGCTTGGGTGGGCTGCTTTGAGCTATCATCCAGATTCCATGGGGTAGTTTTCCGTTCTGATGGGAATAGTTGGGTGTAGATGTTTGAGAAACACTAGATGGTTTGATTCATCATGGGAAAGTGCTTTTGTGCTTTAAAATGTATCCCCAGCTGGGCATGTGGGGCTCACGCCTGTAACCCCAGCACTTTGGGAGGTCAAGGAGGGTGGATCACCTGAGGTCAGGAGTTCAAAACCAGCTTGACCAATACAGTGAAACCCTGTCCCTACTAAAAAAAAAAAAAAAAAAAAAAAAAAAAAAAAAATGCCAGGCATGGTGGCATGTGCCTGTAATCTCAGCTATTTGAGAGACTGAGACAAGAGAATTGCTTGGATCTGAAAGGCAGAGGTTGCAGTGAGCCAAAATCGCACCACTCCACTCCACTCTGTGTGATGGTGAGACTCTGTCTCAAAAAAATAAAATAAAATAAAAATAAATAAATGAATAAAGTATTCTCTGAGCATGCTGAAATAGGAAGTTTCATCATTACAGTTTCTTTTGCTTTAGAATATTACTTATCCAGGAGAAGCCATAATTTCTCTGAGACTCAGTTTTCTTATCTCTAAAGTGAGAAAAGTAACACCTATTTCACAGAGTAGGGATTAAATAATACAGCATACATTGTATCTTTGTTAAATAGATGTTTAAAAGTACAAGAACTTTTAAACACTTAGTGCCTGCTGTCTGAAAGGCATTACAAAACTACTACAGAGAGGGATAACATTTGTTCACATCAGTTACACCTTTGTACATTTTAGATCTCTCTAGAGGAGGATGCTTCCCATGAAAAACTCTCAAAGATATTAATTTAGCTAACAGATTTCTACATTGTGTTTAGTGTTCAGGAAGTACCCTGAAAATCACTTTTACTTTACTTTGACTTCGATAGGAAGATAGTTCATGACACCCTCAAAGTAAGTTTATAAAATAAAAAGAAACTTCTCAGGCCTGCCTTTCTCAGGTTTGAGTTTTTACAGTTTGTATGCAATGATTTTTCAATAAATAAGCAAATGATTAAAAGTTTTATGTTAACCAGTACAACTTTTAGTTATCAGTTACTTCTACATAACCATTATAATATTTACTGCTGTGAACAATACAGACTTCAAAGCACATGAAATTGAAAAAGCAAAGCATCTTTACTCTCTTCATAGAAAACAGAAAAAAAATATTAAACTTTTAAGCATTAGGAAACATTTTATTGAATAAAATGTTAGTCAGCAACTGAATAATTTGTTTTGAAACTTTAACTCGTAATCTGGCTAATAAGCACTTATTTACAAAGTATTCTACATTGTAAAGGAGACATTAATATTTCTGGTGTTGTCCTTCTTTGATTTAGAAGGTATAATCTGCAGGACCTAATTGGCCACTGATGTGAGCGTGAGGAAGAAGAAACCACATCGCAGGGGGAAAGGGCTAAAGCAAAGCGGAGGCGTTAAGATCAGGTCGATATAGGTTAGCACACTACCCAGATGAAAGGGCTTTGGCTGGGTTCCGAGGTCAAGTAAATAAGTTCAATTTTTTTCATTCTTTCAATTATATATTGTTTTGTTAAGCTTCGGTCATGCATGGTAAAATGCATGTAATTTGCTGAGCAAAGTGCCAGATGCGAAATAAATGTTAGCTACGGTAGAAGTGCTACAGTAACAGGTAACTTGAAACAGGCTGAGAGCTCACAGAAGGGCGTGCTTGAATCTGGAAAACAAAATTGTTTAAATGGAATGCAAAACACTTTATACGTTGCTTTTACAAAAGTTACATCAATTTAAAGGAAAGGTTTTCAAAAACAATCTGTGATCGACAAAATTACAGAAAAGAATCTGGAAAAGGGGAATGAAGGAAAACAGGAAGATGAGCAAAACAATTTTATGCCCAGGTAAATAAGATTGACTTTTAACCAATGAGATCACAAGTTGGAAAATTTCTTCTTTTCAGGCCCAATCAAGAGGAAGCTATGTCTACAAATAGGACTGCCTAAACTCTCATGTCAATGAGACAGTGTGGCCCATACTAAGCAGACTGCCCGTAATTCGAGCGGCGGCAAGGCCCGGAGGAAGCAGCTGGCCACCAAGGCGGCCCACAAGAGCGCGCCGGCCACGGGCGGGGTGAAGAAGCCGCACCGCTACCGTCCGGGCACCGTGGCCCTGCGCGAGATCAGGCGCTACCAAAAGTCCACGGAGCTGCTGATCCGCAAGCTGCCGTTCCAGCGGCTGGTGCGCGAGATCGCGCAGGACTTTAAGACGGACCTGCGCTTCCAGAGCTCGGCAGTGATGGCGCTGCAGGAGGCCAGCGAGGCCTACGTGGTGGGGTGTTCGAAGACACGAACCTGTGCGCCATCCACGCCAAGCGCGTGACCACCATGCCCAAGGACATCCAGCTGGCCCGCCGCATCCGCGGGGAGCGGGCCTAAAGCGTGTTAACTGGTGGAGCTAAAGGCTCTTTTTAGAGCCACTGCCGTTTTCATCAAGAGCAGCTGTGCCGGCTCTCCAGCTGACGTGGTCTGCCTTGCTCACCGGTCGGAGGCCAGGGTCACTCGCAGTGGTGGGTGGGGTTACAAAACCCCGAAAGCCCAGGTGTGAGCTGGCTGGCGGTAGAGAAAGCCGCAGAGGCATGGTCCTTGTGGTTCCTGCCGAGACTTAAGGCCAGAGCTCCGGTTCCCAATTCTGTGGGGAAAGTTGTGCATAGGGGCAAGAGACAATGTGCTGAGTCCGGAGATGGGGAAGATCTGACTAGGGGCGGGGCGAGTCCCTTAAAAATTAAACTCGCTTCCTGGTTTATTTAGGAACTGTATAAGCAATTAAAGCTCAGCGTCTTCATTGCATACTACAAGCGGTGCCCAAGTCAGAATAGTAATTTAAGTTGGGGGCTGGGAGCAAACACCTAGCGATTTAAAAAAAGTGGGCTGAGGTGATGTTCCAAGAACCGAGAACAAAATTTCTGCAGAGTATAGAATAAAAATGCAAAAACAAGGTAAGAGTTATCTTTAGCTGGCGTTAAGGTTTTGTCTATAAGCAACTCTGCCAAGGAAAGAAAACCAAGAAAAAAGCCCGAGGCGGTTGAAACTATCTCTTCACCTAGCTTAAAACCCGCTAGTGTGAAATGGACCATTCTGATTGGATAACAAGACTTTTGTTCTAGTGACCACTAAGGAAACACGACCAGAATCTATTATTTACATAGACTCCACCCCCTCTGACGACACCGTTGTAAATTAACCAATAAAAATGCAGCACTGTGTGAGTCTTCATTTGCATACAAGCTCTTATAAGTAGCGCACAATCAGCCCCTTTTGCCCTAGTCGGGATTACTTCTTTCAGTCTCTGTTGCTTCTTCGCGCAAAAATGCCGGATCTAACAAAATCTGCTCCTGCTCCCAAAAAGGGCTCTAAAAAGGCTGTTACGAAAGTGCAGAAGAAGGACGGCAAGAAGCGCAAGCGGAGCCGCAAGGAGAGCTACTCAGTGTACGTGTACAAGGTGCTGAAGCAGGTCCACCCCGACACCGGCATCTCGTCGAAAGCCATGGGCATCATGAACTCCTTCGTCAACGACATCTTCGAGCGCATCGCGGGGGAGGCGTCCCGCCTGGCGCACTACAACAAGCGCTCCACCATCACGTCCCGCGAGATCCAGACGGCCGTGCGCCTGCTGCTGCCCGGTGAGCTGGCCAAGCACGCCGTGTCCGAGGGCACCAAGGCGGTCACCAAGTACACCAGCTCGAAGTAAGGGTGTGCAAAGGACGCAACAGATCAACCACTTTACCCCAAAGGCTCTTTTCAGAGCCACTTCAGTAATTAAGAAAAGGGCTGTAAACACTTGGCAGAGCGTTGGATAGCTTTTGGTCTGGGAGGGAGGATGACCAAGGTTGGATGCGCTCGGGTTTAGGACTGAGGAGTTCCCTGTAGTCTAGTAATGCGTTACCACTGGGCCATCCTCGGCCCAGTCTTACCGAGTCGCCTGTTACTTGTATTAAGAGACTAGGAAGTAGGCTTGACCACGGTTCTGGGATGTTTTTGATTGATGGGGGGTTCCCCACCCCTTCAACCTTGTACTTAACGTCTCCACCGTCGTTTTATTTTTTCTGAAAGTAACGAAGAAGCTGAGATTTCTTATACAGATGAGAAATCTTTCAGTCCAACCTCTCACTACTTGCTGTTTCTCAGTGTTTTAACCTGTTTTCCTTACCATATACCTCCAAGCGTCTGTCACAAGCTTTGTGTAATATAGCCGTGTGCTTTCGTCCCTTAGCTTCTCTGCAAGTCCTGACTTGGCCATCCTCTCCTAAGTTCCATTTCAGCGACTTCAATAGGGGAGATACATTGCCACCGCCCCCACCCCCTGTGGAGTATTTGCCAATATCTAGAGATGTTTTTGGGTTGTCAGGTGGGCAAGGGGGGGGGTGCTACAAGTATCCAATGGGCAGAGGCTAGGAGTGCTGCTAGGCGTAAGGCACAGGACAGTCCTGTGGGGGGACAAAGAGCTACGTGGTCTATAATGTCCATCTTTGGCGATTAAGAGACCTCAGAGCCCAAGGCCTCCCTAATCATGATGTAATCTTCATTTCAGTCAAACTTTTCCTTAACCCCACCAGCACATGTTTTTGTTCTTGGTGGAAGGTGAGCACTTCATAGGCTGTTTACAAATCCTTCTCTACAGGAAAATGCCGCCAGGGCAAGGACGCTGTCTTGGTTCTGTAACAAACTTCCCCAATTATAAGGATTATAAGAATTACCTTTGTGTTGTTAAACCTGCTCCCAGGTGTTTCTCCTGAGGTTTCCCTATTCAGCTAGGCAGGAGGTGCGACCTGGAGAGGTGGTTGGCTTTTAGTGTTCAGGAGTGTGGATGTTTTAATAGATGTTGAGTCCTCATGTTAATTGACCTGTTGGTGTGGCAGTCTTTCTGTCACAGATGTTCTGAGAAACAGGATGAGTGGAGGGGATTGTGTAGAGAAGGCCACAGTTAATACGTGGGATGAATTTCTGAAAACCTCTCAGTTCGAAACTTGTGTTAAGTCAAGACTCATCCTGACAAAAGCCAGTGGATGCTTCTTTTGCCAAATATACCCTTGGTGCAATTGGAAAATCTTAGTTTATAATTAACTTGACAACCTTTGAAATTAAGCCATTCTTGATAAATCTTGGGGGAATTAACACAACTTTGCGCTTAAATTGAATTTTACTGATTTTTATGATGTTGGAGTTCAAATGTATGTCGAATTAAAAGTTATATAAAATGTGATATACATGATTTTCTTTTTCTACTAGAAAATTAAGATTCCCAGTTTAGTCATCTTTTTCTGAGGATCACCAGACAAGAAGTTAGAGAAAGATAACTGAGAATCTAAACTTTCCAGTGGAAAAAAAATATATATATGGCACATTTCTGGTAGGAAAGGTTACTCATTAAGTGAAAAGGCAGAGGTGGTCTATTTTCTATACAGTTGGGCCATAAGAGTCTATCCAATCTCCTAGCTTAGGGTCCTGAAGTCAGGAGTTCCTTTTTTCCTAAGGATTAGAAACCATGTGTTTCAGCGTCTTTTGAAGTTGTTAAAGCATTGTCAACTGGCTTAACTACACAAATGCCATCATTACCCATTGACCAAAAGATTGACTTCCAACTCATTATCCTGAAACTAAAGGCCATCGATTATCTAGCCAAAACTTGCCTTTGTCAGTTGTTCTCCCCGGTTGTCCAGCTTAGCTTAAATGTTCTACTGGCTGGGAGCAGTGGCTCACACCTGTAATCCCAGCACTTTGAGGCGGGCAGATCATGAGGTCAGGAGTTTGAGACCAGCCTGGCCAATATGGTGAAACCCCATCTCTACTAAAAATACAAAAATTAGCTGGGCATGTTGGTACATGCCTATAGTCCCAGCTACTCCAGAGGCTGAGGCAGAAGAATTGCTTGAACCTGGGAGGTGGAGTTTTCTGTGAGCTAAGATTGCGCCACTGCACTCCTGCCTGGGAGACAGAGCAAGACTATGTCTCAAAAGAAAGGTTCTAGGAAGTGTCCTGTAAAGAAAGCATCTTATGTTTATCTTCTGTGCTTTTGTTACATTGTTTTCATCCTCAGTCTTAGTCCTCTAGACTACTTGAAGCTGCTTATCAGTCTGCCAGTTCTTTAAACTCTTGCTCAAATCTCACTCTGAGAAGCCTTTTCATCTCATTGTAGTTCACAGGGAAGTCTTTCCCTAAGGCCTCATTTCTTGCACAATGAACAATTGTGTAGCTTTGTAAACTGTAGCCTTATTCCTCAATTTCTTTTTCTTGTTTTTACATTTTCTTATTCATCTTCTACTAAAGACATGTTTCTTGGTATTCCACAAAGGCTATCCCAATGCCTACTGTAAAACAGCTTGTCAATGAAAGTTTGTTGACTGGTTGCCGAGTCAACAGAACACTAGAAAACTGATCTGAGAGTGGTAGGTTCAAGTACTCTAGTGAATATTTTTCTCTACTTTTTTCCTGTATATTTTTTTATCTTACTCCTTTAGCCTGGCTACTCTTTTAATTATTGCCCCTAATAATTATTGGCCCAGTTGAAACAACTGTTACAGATTCAAAAATCCTCAGAGTGGTAGATAAACTACTACACTTGGCATCTTCCCTTGAGCCAATGTGTCTATGTAGCCAAAATGATGAGATTAGAGTGGAGCTTTCTCACCCTGGTTTGAGGTGCTGGAGAAATGATCTGCTTTTCTAGTGCCTTGAAAAAGGATGAGAAGAGAGGTGCTTTCCGGAAGACAAAAAAGGTGTGTAGTATCAGGATAAGGGCTTTACATATCGGATCCGGAGAACACTGCGCATTAGAAATGGGCTTGGCCTGGGTCAGGGCATTGAGACTGATTACATAATCTTTTCAAGGATTGGTGAATGAGTTGGAGTATGTGTAGAAACCTACAAAGATGACAGTTTAATCTTTTGTCGTCATTTTTAGACAAATAATGTATTTTAAAACTGGGTGCACTGAGGCAGGCGGATCACCTGAGGTCGTCAGCAGTTCGAGACCAGCATGGCTAACGTGGTGAAACCCCATCTCTATTAAAAAATAAAAAAAAAAAAAATTAGCCAGGCGTAGTAGTGCGTGCCTGTAATCCCAGCTACTCAGGAGGCTGAGGCAGGAGAATCACTTAAACCTACGAGGTGGAGTTTGTGAGCTGAGATCCTGTCATTGCAATACAACTGAATTTGGACATCTATAGTGTAAGTATAGGACAACAGGTGGGAAATAAGCACATGACCTCTGTGGGATAAATTAGGAATCATCAAAGAATGACAGTGTTGAACAAGGAAGGAACAGGCTTGTTTTGGAGAATTACTGGATATTATGGAAGATACTTTTTCTGCGTTTGGTTAACTATAGCTAAACTATAGCAGATCATATGACTTGGCAAAAATATAAAACTTGAGAAGAATCTTCTAAGTCCCATCATGACAACCCGAACAAACTTTGAAAAGTAGAAGTAGGCTGTGTTTTCTCATGATGTTTTATCAAATATACGCTGAACATATAATCCTTGCCCCTCAGCCAGGTTGCAACATTTCCTTTTACTTTATCTCTTTAATAATTTATTTTAATCAATTTTATTTTGAAAAAAACTGAGCTAGAGGATACAAAGATGTCAATGAATGTAAAAGAGAATTACACTGGGATAAAGGGTGGCTCACGCCTGTAATCCCAGCACTTTGGGAGGCTGAGGTGGGTGGATCACCTGAGGTCAGGAGATGGAGACCATCCTGGCCAATATGGTGAAACCCCATGTCTACTAAAATGCAAAAAAAAAAAAAAAAAAAAAAAGGCCAGACATGGTGGCACATGCCTGTAGTCTATTACTTGGGAGGCTGAGGCAGGGAAAACCCGGGAGTCAGAAGTTGCTGGGAGCGAGATCACACCATAGAACTTTAGCCTAGCGACAGAGGGAGACTCTGTCTCAAAAAAAAAAAAAAAAAAAAAGAAGGAAATATGTGAATTGAGAGTGAAAAGTTGCCCCTCGTTAGAGAGTTCAGGGAAATTCTGAGAGAACTTACATGGTGCCAGCTAGTGTGCTAAGTGATAGAGACACAAAGGTATCCATTCCCCAAGTCCATAAGGTTCAACTGGAATTTTCTTTGTGATGAGTATATCACGTATCCTCTGGGATTGTTTTTTTTTTTTTTTACCTTTTAGTTTTACCCAATTTTTACTGTGACCTCTTTCAACTTTTGAATTGTCTGACTTGGGCCGATGGAATTCTCAATCATTCCATTTTTACTCTGATTAGAGGTTATTAATTCCTCACCCATCATCCAGGTTGTAACATTTCCATTTAATATATCTCTTAAGAAAATCTTTATTTTACTTCAATTGAGATTTCATTTTTTATTATTATATTGAACAGCTTTGGCTATCCCACCCTCCTGCCTGCAGAGTGCAAAACAATTTACGCACCTCGTACTCGGCTTACAGCATCTCAAAACTCCTGAAGCTTGGTTCACCATGGTCCTGGCTGGATTTTCTTGAGGTTTTCTTTTCTTGGGGTGTGACTATTCTTTCTTTTCTTTTTACTTTCCTGCTATTCTCCCCTCTCCTCACCATTCCTCTCCCCTCCCCTGCCCTCCTCTCCCCTCTCCTCTCCTTGTCTCGCTCTGTCACCCAGGCTGGAGTGCAATGGTGCCATCTCAGCTCACTGCATCCTCTGTCTCTCAGGTTCAAGTTATTCTCCTGCCTCAGCCTCCTGAGTAGCTGGGATTACAGGCACCCACCATCACACCCAGTTAATTTTTGTATTTTTATAGAGATGGGAGTGTTACCATGTTGATTAGGCTGGTCTTGAACCCCTGACCTTAGGTGATCTGCCTGCCTTGGCCTCTCAAAGTGCTAGCATTAGAGGTGTGAGCCACCATGCCTGGCCTCTTTATTTTATTTTATTTTATTTTTGACAGGATCTTGCTCTGTCACCCAGGCTGCAGTGCAGTGGCATGATTACAGTTTGGGCTCAAGTGATCATCTCACCTTGGCTTCCTGAGTAGCTGGAACTACAGGTGTATGTCATCATGCCTGGCTAATTTTTAAAGTTTTTCTGGTAGAGATCAGGTCTCACTCTGTTGCCCAGGTTGGTCTTGAACTCCTGGGCTCAAGTGATCCAGCTGCCTTGGCTTCCCAAAGTGCTGGGATTACAGGCTGGTGTGACTGTTAGAATGGTGAGTGAATAAGCTTTCTCTTGTTTTCCAAATGCAATTTATCAGAAAATCTTCTTGGCTCAAAATATGTCCAGCATCCAACTATATCTTGCCATCTCCACCACTGTTTCCCTGCTCCAAGCCTCTACGTCTCTTGGGTATTTGCAATGGCTTTTAAAATGGCGTCCTTGATTCTGCTCTTTCTCTCCTGTATTTCCACAAAGCAGCTAGAATACACTTTTTGAAACGTAAATCAGATCATACAATTCACATACTCTCTCCAATGGAAAACTCTTCAATGGCTTCAGCTTTAAGGCCCACATTCACTCTCTGACCCTCTCTCTTACCACTGCCTCCTTTGTTCCATTTCATCATAATCTCCTTGTACCTCTTTGAATACATCAAGGGCCTTCTATCTCAGGATGTTTGCACTTGCTATTTTCTCTTCTCAAAAGGCTCTTCCCTAGGTATTTGCATGACTGGCTTCCTAATGTGTTTTAAGCTTCTGCTCGGAAGTGACCTTATCAACTACATTGAGGTCTTCCCTGAACATCTTAGGTTAAGATAACAAGCCCCCCTCCTTTTCTCTCCTCACTTCTTGGCATTCTATATCTCATAACTTTCTTAATTTTTTTCCATGTACCATCTGAATACTAATGTATTTATTTACTTGTTTATTTCTGAAGGAGACTGATATCCATAAACATGATCTTTGCTTCCAGACTTTAACTCCCTGCTGTGGAGGTGCATGGCTTCTCAATTAAAGGCTAATTTACCAGCTTCTGTTCTGGGCCAATGAGATGTGAAT